CTCACAAGAACGCGTTCTACTTACATTAATTTATATATTTTTATTTTTAGAATCATGATATCGAAATAAAAATAAAAATCTATATTTCAAACAATAATATTTTGTAGCAACAAATAATGGTATAATAATAATAATTAAACGATGAATTTGCCTTTGCCAGACATTTTTTTGTGTGAGAAAACCTAAAAACAAAGATAAAAAAATTACGGCGAAGGTCGAAATTGTTGGTCGTTGTTTTCATTTTGAAATTCACACACAGACATGACTATTTTAGTTTGATATTTTGTTCCTTTATATTTAGAAACAGTGGCTGCTGAAAACGGAAACATCTTGGACACAAATTGTAGAAAACGTTTCGAAACGTTTCCTCTAAAAGTTCTGATTCAGCATCGAAACATTTCAGGAAACGGCTAGTGCCACCACATGTAATAAAGCCATTTAAAATATATAGGTTTCGAAAATGTTTCCCATTTGTACCTGTGTACCGTACCGTTTCCATTTTGTGTCAAGAAACAGACACGACTATTAGAAACATTACCTAAAATGTGTCCAAAAATGCTACTTGGGTAGGTAATATACAAAGTGACGAAAATAATTCACTTGTGTATTGTTTAAAATGTATAAAGCATGAATAACCAGACAACATAATCTAAAACAGGCTTGTGTTAAATGTCAAAATAAACAGCGGGTATATATATACGCCTATCGATTTTTGCTAAAAGTTATTTCTTCAAAGTGCCATATTTCTCTACGCTCTAAATACGTTTTGTTTTAGATTTGAGCAACTGTTTAACAGTAGGAAACATGTGTTTGTTTTAAAATTAGTATAAGTAACATCACCGGCTAAAATTATATGTTACTGCATTAAAAAGTGTCGAGGAAAAGTAATAATAGACGTTGTTCTTTTTATAATAAAACGTGTTTGTGAACTTAAATCTTTATTTACCTTAATGATTTTATAGCTAAAATCATTAAGGTAAATAATTATTTAAGTCTCTAATGACTCTTGATACAATAAAAATTAATATCTGGCATTTTTGTTAAAATATGCTGGTTATAACTTTTAAAGAATATAAGAGAAAATAAATCGTTATGTTAAGTCTTTGTATCTATATTGCTTTGATTCTAACTGGTCGGTTATAAATATTCAATAAGATAAGGAATTATTCAACGTAAAATAATTAACTACAACAAACATACTATGCGTTATAAAATATAAATTAATCCATCTTACTTCTTTAATTAACGAGTCATTCCAAAAAGGAGTTTTTCCAAACTGCCTTAAGGCAGCAATAATTATTATTCCTCTGCATAAAGGAGGAGATAAAGATGAAGCTTCGAACTATCGCCCAATTGCACTCCTGCCCACATTATCTAAGATCATTGAAAGATTTGTTAAAAAAAGGTTTCTATCTTTTCTCCTTAAATATAAAATACTTACTACCCCTCAATTTGGATTTCTAAGTAACAGTTGCACAAATGATGCTATGTTCGACCTTTTTAATAATGTATACTCTAGCCTGAATAACCATCACTCTACAGCTACAATTTTCTGTGATTTCTCTAAGGATTTCGACTGTGCAAATCATAATATCTTAATTAACAAATTGCAATACTATGGTTTCAGGGGAGTGCCGCTCGAATGGCTTAAGTCATATCTTGGCAACAGAAGGCAGCTTGTGAGGATTGATACGTCTATGTCTTCTTGTAAGCCTATAGAATGTGGTGTCCCTCAGGGTTCAGTACTTGGCCCTATTTTGTTTCTGGTGTTTATCAGCGACATTGCAAATCTAGACATTAGCGGTAAAATCTGTCTCTTTGCGGACGATACTAGTTTCACTTGGATCGGCCCCGATGTTACGGCACTAGGTATATAATACCAATCCAGTGACTTACGCACCATTAAATCTTGGTGCGATTTTAATCTCCTATGTCTCAACCTATCAAAAACTAAAGTTTTGTCATATAAAAGTACTATACAACCTTTTGTATTTAATAACACCACTATTGACGTCGTGGACTCTGTGAAATTCTTAGGACTTGTAGACAACTCGCTAAAATGGGACTTTCACATCGAAGCTCTATCAAAGAAACTAAGCGCTGCTTGTTTTGCGCTTAGATCAGTTTCTAAGGAACTTAACTTATCAACCTCTAGAATAGCCTATTATGCCCTTTTTGAGTCACATCTTCGTTATGCCCTTCCATTCTGGGGTACTTGCTGCGCAACAAAATTTCTTCTTCAATAAAAATCTTATTTTCAAACTTCAAAAGAGAGCAGTTTGATAGTTATTGGGACTGAACAGTAGAACACACTGCCAGAATTTCTTTAAATATTTCAAAATACTGACTCTTCCTTCTTTATTCATTTTTGAATCCGTTTGCTTAATCCGCAAGCACATATTTGTTATTCCCGAAAGGCCATCTCATAACTATCCACTTAGGAATGCGGAGCACGATCTCTATCTGCCAACCCCGAGCTCAAAACTAGTTAAAGGTTCAATACTGTACAATGCCAAAAAATATACAATCATCTGCCTTTGAATATCAAGCCGCTTTCATTCTTTCCCGCATTTTGCAAAGTTCTGAAATCATACTTACTGGAGAGAGCTCTATATGCGGTAAACGACTTTTTTGTTGATGTTTAATCATGAACAATTTTGAATTTTAAAATTTTGATCATCTCACACACTGGTCAATGGTCAAGTATTTAATATTTTATAAATCTTAAAATTATATCTATTTACAATCTTCCTATTGTAAAATTTTATTGATACGCCTTTTTTTGTGTTCTGCAATTGTCCATGTATGTTCTATTTGTAATTTTAATGACTTAAATTTTTTGGAATTGCATGTTTTCTATTGTATATTTTTTGTGCTTTTGTTTGTTTTGTAAATGCTTTGTCGATGAAGCTATTTTGGCTTTTTTTACAATAAAGCGGTATTTGTTATTTGTTGAAACCAACTTGAACCACGTGTACTTCTACACATTACTTAGTTTAAGATTTCATTCAAGTACACTTGTACCTTGTCAATCGGGCTTTTACAGAGTTTTCAAAAAACTACTAAGAATCTGTAATACATTTAAAGGAATGTCCTGGACTCTATTTGCTAGTAATGACGAATCCGCTTAATTATATTGCTAGTGGCAGACGGCACGTTTATTTTCGTTTGAACCCACGCAAAAGCAAATCGTTGCGTAATTACCAAACGATCGAATGTCAGACTGTCCGAGATTTAACGAGAAAAAAGGGAACAGGTATATTAACATTGTTCATAAAGTTTATGAAATGTCTTAAATAACAAAAGGCGTAAATTTAAACAGGGAAAAAACTGCATCGAATAGTGGCAGCTGGGCGTAAAATCTGGGTCATGCCGTTTTATCGTTTCATTATTTGGCTTAACATTTATTGCAGTAATAAATTGGACTGTTAATTGAACACTGAAAATAGTTTCAACAGGTTTAATGTTTTCTGCATCGGAAATATGTTGATCTTGAATCTCGATACTCTCATTTCTACACGGCCATCAACCCTTTTTAATTACATTATTTCTATAAATATATGCTTCATCTGTTTGGTTTGATAGTTATAGTAATTTAGTTGATGTTATATAATGCTATTAATGTAACAAGTTGCGAAATCAATGTGTTTTAAGCACGGGACGCAAAATTGGATAATACGTCGAGTGCTTAAAACACTCTTTTCGCAATGAATTTCATACAAGATTTTTTGTGAAAGCGGATAATTTGAGATTTTCATGCTATTATTATTATTTATTTTGAAATATTTTTTAAAATGTTCTGGTAATCGGTTTCTAAGGCATTGTTTATGCATTGTTTTTTGCTTTTGTATACAAAGTTCTGTCAGGTTCAAACGTCGCCGTATTTCCTACAAAGTTTTGTGAAAAAACGAGTGATCAAGAAGTCGAAAAACTTATACGAGACCACTTACAACAACTTTGAAACCTGGGTCAAAGAAAAACATGTTGAGAATTTCACAGAAAAGGTATTGCTAGTCTATTTCCTGAAGTTATCCACTGCTCTAAAGCCGTCAACTCTGTGGAGTAAATATTTGATGCTCCGCACCATGATTTACCTGAACAGAAACGTAGATATTAGCAAATTGACAAACCTTATTGCATTTTAACAAGAAAAACTTCCGGATATCAGGCAAATAAATCAAAAGTATTTACAAAACTGGAAATAGAACGCTTTATGAAAGAAGCCGATGACAAAGAATTCCTGTTAGCTAAAGTTGTTTTAATCGTTGGAGTATTTGGAGCATGTAGAAGGGAAGAAATCACGTTTTTGACCGTAGATGCCAGTGATTATTAGTGTGAAGATTCCGAATAGAAAAACTCATTTTCCAAGAGTATTTACGATTACTGAAATTACAAAAAAAAAAAAATATTAAAAAATTACTTAAAAAAAAGGAGATACCACTAACTGTGACAACTGGAGAGGTATTGTTTTGTTAAACACCATTCACAAGATAATATCCTCTATAGTTCATTTAAGGTTAAACTCCTATATAGAGCCTACTCTGAGAGAGAACCAAGCTGGTTTCCGACCGAACCACTCGTGCATTGACCATATTAACACATTGCGCATTATCATAGAGCAGTCAATAGAATTTAGGTCACCTTTATTCTTATTATTCATAGATTTCGTCAAAGCTTTAGACAGTATCCCCCATGCGATGGTATGGAAAACTCTAAAAGAAAAAGGTGTTCCGGAAAAACTAATTAATATAATCAAGGAACTCTACAGAAACACAGAATGCAATGTGCTGTACAACGGTAGAACCAGCGACAGTTTTAACTTAGGGACAGGAGTAAAGCAGGGTTGCACATTATCGCCGCTTCTATTTAATATCGTGCTCGACAGCGTTTTGACTAAAGCCACAGCAAACATTAGGGGAGTACAATGGACTCTGACATAGCATCTGACGGATCTTGATTATGCTGATGATATCTGTCTCACAACGCAATCCTTCAAAAACATGGAAGTGATGCTCAGACGTCTAAAAACAGAAGCAGACAAAGTAGGATTAAGCATAAACATCGACAAAACAAAGTCAATGCGCATTAACACAAACAACAACACTCCATTCAATGTAGGAATCAAACATGTCGAGAATGTAACAGAGTTTACTTACCTGGGAAGTATTCTAACAGCAAACGGTGGCGCAGACGCGGATATTGTCAGCAGGATCAGGAAGGCGCAGCGAGCCTTTGGCCAACTAAAATCAGTTTGGACCTCCCGTCAACTCTCCATACAAACAAAATTAAGAATATTCAATTCCAACGTCATACCAGTTTTATTATATGGCTGCGAGACATGGAGAGTGACAAAAATATCCATCAACCGTCCACAGGTGTTTATCAATCGCTGCTTGCGGAAAATACTTAAAATCTTTTGGCCAGACACCATACGTAACACCGACCTGCTTCATCTTACAAACCAACAAGAAGTAGGCATTGAAATCCTCAAAAGAAAATGGGGTTGGATAGGTCACACTTTGCGGAAACCTGATAGTAATATAGCGAGATCAGCGTTGGAGTGGAATCCCCAAGGAAAAAGAAAGCAAGGACGACCTGCTCAAACATGGAGACGTTCCATACTGGATGAGCTTCAACAAGTAGGGTCAACATGGAAGGAAGCAAAAACAACTGCCAAAAACAGAACCCGATGGAGAGCTTTCACTGAAGCCCTTTGCTCCGTGCAGGAGATATAGGATCCTATATATATATTTACGATTACTGAGGGACCAATAGATGTATCAATTTCTTACATGTATTTCGTAAGTACGCAAAACTTCGACCACTCAATGTGACACATCAGCGAATTTGTTTGACGTGTCGAAAAAATCAATGCTGTACCCTGCCAGTTTGGAATCAATACAATTGGAGGTTTGCCATAGCGGAATTTCTTGGACTCTCCAACGCCATTGAATACACTGGTCATTGTTTCCGGCGCAGCTCTGCAACAATGCTGGCAGATTCAGGAGCAGCAGTTTTGGAGCATAACAGTTTTAAAGGGACATGGAGGTTAGCAATCAAGCTCTGTTACTGAAGGTTACATTGAAAATTCAATTGAACAGAAAACTGAAATAGCAAAAAGAATCATGGGACAGAGAGATACGCCAAATAACAAATTAAAAGCAGTTCACCGAGAAGCAGAAGCTACCGCCATTGCCAGTACAAGAAATTTACTTATTCCAACTCCTACAACTTGCATTTCTTTTAGAGATGAAAAGTTGGATGTCTCTTGTATTCACTTTAATAATTGAAATAATTGTACCTTTAAGATTTATAATAAATATTTTCATTGTTTTTAACGTTCCATTTTTTACTTTTAGGCACTAGTGTCTAAATAAGTGTCACTTTTAGATACTAGTGCCTAAAAGATTAGATACTGGTGCCTAAATATCAAAAACTGTCAATTCCGAAACGTTTTTACAAAACATTATTATCACTACTGTTGTTTAAAAGAAAAAATTCTTATATGATACGTTTCACAAGTTCACAAGTATTTTTGTTAATAGTTTTATCATCGTCATCATCATTTTCAGCTAATTCAAACCAATTCCAGTTATGGTGTAGTCTCCCTTACATATTTAGACAATCTTTTCCAAGTTAACTCTGCTAATTTCATAATATCAGTGTCCCATCTTAGGTTTTGTCTTTGTTCTGTCTTCTAGGTCTCTTATTACCAAGCTGTAATGTTGTGGTACCAAGCTGTAATTTTTGTGGTCCATCTTTTGTCAGTCCTTCTTGCTTGCTAGGTGTTCTGCCTATTACTACTTGTGGGATTTGACTCTGCGGATGACCTGATCTATTACCTGAGTTTTTTAGGGTCTCTCTTTGTTATTTCCAGCATATTTCGTTCCATTGAGCGTTGTGCGATCTACAGTTTCCATTAAGAATGTTATTCTTCTTATTTAGCCTTTCATAGCGTTTGACCAAACCAAACCCAGGGCCTTAGAGCATTTTTAGGTACCTATTTCACTCTTAAACATATGTAATAATGTGCAATTATAAATTACAGCAACTAGTAGGTAATCCTAAAGATAAAACAAATCCACTTGGGTATTTAAAGTTTCATTGATGGATTGTACTCAAAAATATGTTGGACAAACTAGAGTGTCAATAATAACTATGGTAAAGCCAAGTAGAGTAGATAAATCTTGTATTTCTCAACATATATTGAGGTATAGCATTATTAAATATCTAATGTTTGTATCAAAATTGAATAAGACTTACCTTCGATGTAGTAATAAGTAATGCTTTTTTCAATTTAAAAATTACTTTGCGCTGCTTAAATTTTGGCGAAAAATATGCAATTTCAGACATGGCTATGCTTCTTTAAGCATTTCAATACAACCTTTAATTTGGTTGTCAAATAATCATCAAAAAACTTAAACAATAATTTTAGTAGTTTTATTTTGTGGTATGTTGTCATTTAATTTGTAATTGATATAAAATTAGATGTGTAATTCTATATTAAAGCTAATATAGGGAATGACTAATAAAATATAAAAAAAATAATAAAAAATTCTTTTTGTTTCAGAATAAAATAATTTCCATGTAAATTTAGGATTTTTTTGTTATAGAATTACCAGTGTTTGATATTATTTTCATTTGTGTCATTAGAAGATTAAACGATCTTTTATAAATATTAATGGTTGTGTTATTGTTAAGGTTAAACATATTTTCAATATAAAGATGGATGTGTTATTTAAGTTGATAAAATAATATATTGCCACAAAACTTAAAATGTTGTGTCTTTAAAAAATATTGTCTTTATTTTGTGTGTTAAAAATGATTAGAATCCTCACTGTCTCCTCAGTGTCCATTAATTTCGCGGTCTCCTTGCTTAATCAGAAGTCTGGTTAAGGTGGTCATATTATTTTTATACCGGGTGTTAGGTACCAAAATTGTCAAAATTATTTTTCACGTAAGCATACAAATACAATTAGATCGATAAAAAACGGCGTCAGCGATGGCTATGAAATGAAGATTGCTGTCATTTTATATGTAAAATTATATGGGGAATGTCATTGATCGTCATTTCTAAGCCAACTGGACGCCGTTTTTTTTTCAATGATACGGTATTATTTGTATAACAATATATCAGGCAAAGGCTCTTAATTGAATATTTAATATGTCTATTCCTTATTAAAATATTTTTTGTTTTAATTTTCGAAAAAAAGATGACAGAGTTAAAAAGCATTCATTGCTTCGTCTGACATTTCCACATTGGTTTACATTAAAAACTAGCATGTACCCGCGACTTCGTTCGCGTCGAATTAATCATTTGTAATGGTGATGATAAAGCAAAGCAAGGATTTCCATTAACATACACACTGGATAAAATTTTCTCACATTTATGTCAGCATGAGAAAAAACAATATGGCGATATTATTATATAACTATGTAATATTTGAGGGGTAGTTTCATCTCGTTGGAATTTGACTTTCGAAAAATCCTTTTGCCAGGAATAAGCTTTTTACGTAAAGCAGTTTAATCAGAATCGTGGTTAATCAATTACCCAACATTTTGGAACACCCTGTATGATTTTTTAAAAAATTTCAAAATATGTAAAAAAACCAAATAAATTATGCTTGTCCAAGCGTTTTCCCGAAAGACTAACCGTTTTTTAAATAACAAATATTGTAATATTTGAGGGGCGTTTTCACCCTCTTGGAATTTGAGATTCGAGAAACCCCTCCTTATCGAACCTCTACACCCCACAGTCAATCCGTTTGCCAAAAATCAGCTTTAAACGTCAAGCAGTTTAAGCAAAATCGTGATTACCCAATGGTCATATTTTATGAAACACCCTGTATAAATTTATAAAAAATCTTAAAATATGTGAAACAACAAAATAAAATATAGGTGTTTAAGAGTTTTTCCGAAAAACTCACCGGTTTTTGAATAAAAAAATATTCTAATATTTGAGGGGTGGTTTCACCCCCTTAGAATTCGAGTTTCGAAAAATCCCTTCTTATCGAACCTTCATGATTAATCAATGACCAGATTTTTCGGCAATGACCAGATTTTTCGGCTATCTTCAAGGAAGCTCTAGAAGGAATCGAATGTGGAATTAAGATTAACGGGAAAGTGATCAATAATATCAGGTATGCCGACGATACAGTTGTGCTGGCCGAGAATGAACAAGATTTGCAGAGGCTAATGAATGAATTAGTTCGGCATAGTGAAAACTGCGGTCTCCTCATAAATACCACAAAAACGAAGGTTCTTGCATTCACCAAAACACCTGTGCAGATTCACCTGGATATCAACGGTGACCCAGTAGAGCAAGTGTCTTCATACAAGTATTTGGGGTGTATTGTAAATGATCAATGCGACCCGAAGAAAGAAATTAGAAGCCGCATAGAACAGGCTAGAAAAACATTTATAAATATGAGACAATTTTTCACAAGGTCAGATTTGAGTTTGGAGCTACGGGTACGCATGGTCAGATGCTACATTTTTTCAGTTCTCCTGTACGGGTGTGAGAGTTGGACTCTTGACATATCGTTAGAAAAAAAACTAGATGCCTTCGAAATGTATATTTACCGCCGTATATTAAGAATATCATGGGTCCAAAGAGTTTCAAATGTGGAGGTTCTTAATCGAATGAGAAAACAGAAAGAACTCATGCTTACCATCAAACACGCTACATAGGCCACATAATGAGGGGTAAAAAGTATGAACTTCTCAGATTAATAATTGAAGGCAAAGTCCAGGGCAAAAGATCTATCGGCAGACGCCAGAATTCCTCGCTAAAGGACATTCGTAGATGGTTTGGTTGCTCATCAATCGACATATTTCGTATGGCTGTATCTAGAATGACGTTAGCTATTTGGATCGCCAACCTTCGAAAGGAGACGGCGCACAGTGGAACGAGCTTATGGGAGCGGTTGGACATGAGGTTTTCTTCTCAACACTTTTAATCCAAAAGATGAAAAAATGATTTTTATATACTGTAATAATGTATAAACAGAACAATTTTAAATTTTAATGAAAGAAAGTGGTTGACTCATTACAAACCATCTACAGGGTGACCTAAAAATATAGTATGTTTTGGAAAAATCTTACAATTTTTAAATGCTTATAAACTTTGCCAAACTGTTGTGGAATGTTTTAGTTTTGATCCTTTTAAAAAGAAATAACTTTAGATTTTACCACTGAAATCTAAGACTACTGATACCGTGTTGTAAAAATATGGTAATTAAGGGCTTACATATATTTTCCTATTTAATATAATTTTGCTAATATCTTCAATTTGAAAGAAGATATCAAGATGCGGTTTTCACTGACTTTTTAAGCTTTCATTACTCTTTACTATCAGCTAAAATTACATATACCATCGCATTTATTTTTTTTTTTTTTTTGAAAAAACGCGCAATGTTTGTTAATTTGTAAGACAGCGCCCCCCTAGCATCTACGTTCAAAAGCTTATTATTATTGTTTATACGGTATAATATAAACTAAGAAACGCTCTTTTAAACGAGCTCCTGTTTGTTGGATTCCGTTTATCCAGTCCAGAATTATTAATATTTAAATAAAAACAGACCTAACCTTCCCCCACCACTTTATTTTGGCAGATAGGGGAAATTTGTTCTGACAGAAAATATTCAAAATTTACTAAAGATTATGAATTTATTATTTATAGTACCAGTTATCTAAGCAAAGTTGTGTAAAAACTCCATTTTCTTATTTTTTTATA